CGTCACGAAAGAGCCAGACAGAACGAGAATATCGTTCGCGTGTTTACCCGAACTTTCTCGATGGGTATTTCATTCACCGATGCATCAGCCTCGCGCGAAAAGGACGGCTCGATTGTTACTCTCTTTCCCATTATCCTCGCGTTCTTCCGATATCCACATTTCGTCGAATGGTCAATCGTCTGACAAACTGCTGACCGAATCGACCACGGGCTGAAAACCTCAAACTACGGGCCAAACTAAGCGAAGGAACTATGTCCCCACGGCTTCGTCGACCCTCGGCGTATTAACTCGAGAAATAAAATTATCCGTGGAACGAGGGGTCGGATGTAAAAGTTGACACTTGGAAACTTTCCGACGGTAACGTCGTTATCAATCAAAAATGATTGCTACGCGAACAGAAATGTGTCGACAATATTTGATCGTGATTCTTAAGCTTGTCGAAATTCTTTCTAAATCGTGCGTATTCATCCCTCGCGCGTATTGTATTTCCGAGACAGTATTTGCCCAATATGCTAACTGAGACGGAATAGAGAAAGTTACTCCGCTTCCAGGAGAATAGTTATTGTCGCGCTAGAATTCTTGTAACTTCCACATTTGAAAGAAGACTCTTTATCGATAGGTTCAATTGCTGTGTTGTCGGTTTGTTTTCAAAGACCGTGTACAGTACGAGTCACGCAATTCACACGGGTCACAGCTCTTGTACGGTTGACGATAGAATAGAGCGGTGGAGGAAACGGTTGAATGGCATAAAACTTGTCTATTATTCTATGCCCATATTGTCTTCTCTAGTATCACAATGCTCTACAACCTCCATTGATACCGTTTTGTTAATGACATTCTACAGTTCTTTTTACATAAATCGACGTTTCTTATCATTTTGCGAATACATACATAAATTGATCTCTCAAAAACTGAAAAATTTTAAAACGGGTCATTTGACTGTTTATGGCAGGTTTAGTGCCAAGTAGTATTTCCAGAAAAGAGGTTTCTTACAAATTGATCGCAATTAAGAAGTCAGTTTCGCTCATTTCATAACGAATAAAGTATAAACTACCAACGAAGTATACTCAAGCTGTGCGTCGTACGAACGTCGTCAAACGTTAACATAAAATCACCTTGTAATCGCTGAAAGTGATCTACACTATGAAAGGGCTCGTTGTGTCAGACGAAAAAAGGAAATTGTCCAGAAGTAAGGAGAAATTGTAGTTGCGAATTCTGCTTCGCCGCACGGACTTTTCAACCAGCGAACAGATTCACAGTCTTCAGCGCCGGAACGTAGAATGATAATGGTGCTCCTCCTAGGAATCGTTGATATTCACTCTTCGGGACGGTTCGCTTGTTACTTTGATAAGTAGCATCATTTGACGTGAGACGAGGGAAAGAGGGTGACGTTCGGCGAGATACTTTGAGTTCGAGTTATTCGAATCGTTCGTCGAACGTGTTGAATCCCCAGCTCTTGCTAGGTAGCCGTAGGCGGAATTGTCGCCCCTAAAATAAGGTACGTTGTTAAGCTTTTAACCAGTTGCTCGCCTCATTATTCTCGCTCGGTTTTCAATCTATCGATCCACTCGGAAAAGAAGCCGCGCTTGCAGCTGTAATTGAATAGATGAAACTTCGAAATCCGTATAACGCGATGCCGCGTTACCGAATCTGTATCGGCGAAATCACTTCTCCCGCGACTCATTATGTTGCAAGACCGTACTCGTCGCCTTTTTATTTCTTTCTCCGGCTGGTAATAAAGCAATCACGATCAGCGTGATGGTCGAAAGAAATTCCGAACCGTTAAAATTACTAGAACAGAAAGTTGTTAAAATATAACGATTTATTCACTCAATTACTTGTACTTGGACTGTGTCAGACGATCCACCTTTTAGAGTAAAGTTTATATTTATTTCAGAGACTGAAAAATGATATCAATCATGGTTTAATCAGGGACTCTGTTATAACTGAAGTAAAGTAGAGTTATAGAATAACAATTATTTTCTTGAGTAAAATGTATTTAGTTACAAATAACGATTACAAGAGACAGAGATTCTTATCGATTGATTTGAGTTTTACTATTTCTATTTTGACTGTATTTATTATTAGACAGTGGTTTTAATCAATTAAAAAATTAAGTAATTAAATCGAGCAACTATTGTTTGATTATTAGTTTTCAGTAATGTATTATAATTTATAGAATTTGTTACAACAAGATTGGCGATATTGATTTTTCTCCCGTGGACATGTTTGCACTGTTCAACTCTTCGTTTCGAAAGCAGTGCTATCTAATTGGAATTGTAGATTTTATTTCTTCGCTTTCTTCACGGTTCAGTAAGTTTTAACTAGTTTCTTCTTTATGCGACATTTACCTTATTATTTCCAAAGGAGTGATATTTGTCACTGAATTCTTTGATATTCAGTAATGGGAACTTACCAGTGACTATTATTCATATTAACATTCACTTGAAACTCTTCTCTGGATTTTATTTATTTTCAAAAAATACAGGATATTGAAGGAACATTCGAGAAAGAAGAATAAAATTTGTGCGTTGCACTTCACCACGTTTTACAAAGAATCTGACGCTATTTTCGAAATCATTCAATATTGACAAACAACATCAAAGAAAACCGCGTTTCAACGTTTCGTAGTCTTGTTTTATTTGGACTGCACTTCGCTAAATTCAATTTTCCACTTTCATTCCCTCTTTTTAATGTTCCAAACGTCGCTTCACGTTTTTCGAAACACACGTTTCGCAAAGTGTGTTTCAACGAACAGAGTGATATTTTTACCACCGATATGACGTACAATGAATATTGCAGAACTACAATACATCTGATTTGATATTTTTGTGCACGGTTATTTGTGGTAGAATAATGAATATATCCACGTCACACATTACACTTAACATTATTTCATTACTCAGAATTTTTTTTACTCAGGTATCGAAAAAATAAAGAAACAAACGCCCAAGTCGCTAGATCCTCGATAATCTTGCAAATGTAATTTCGTACCGTGACAAGAGCCGCGTAGATCAATTCTATGCGTATCTTTTTCTTTATTGCAAATCACAGTGTACCGGGTAGAGGAAGAAAATAGCCATTTCTTCGTTGCACCGGGGAGCTCTTCGTGTCGATCTTCGACCGAGTTCCACGAAGCCCCAGCAATTTTTCGAGATACTCGAAGGCTCGTATGAAAGAGATACGCCGACGACCTGGTTGCTTGAATAGATCATTCTTGGCCCAGCTGCCGAATATTCTGTGCGGTGTACCGGTAGATACTTGTATCTCTGCAGGATACATGCAATGGCGCATTCGCACTTTGATCACATCTCCGTTAGAATGGCTTTCTCCTTCCCCTCCTCTCACTTACCAAACATCTCCCTTTCGCTCCTTCGGGCTCTTTCGAAGCTTCTGGATATCACTGCCTCCCAAACAAGACTATCAGCAGATTTTATGCCCGCGGTACATTGACAAACTTGCTGCTGCTGCTGCAAAGTCGCGTCAAACGGTGTGCGATCGTTTAAAAATCGTTCCTGGATAGTTTATTTCGCTGAACAGCTTACACCAAAATTCTAATTCACACTGCTTTCGATTAGTAGAATATTCTAGGACGAGCAAACTAACGAATGCGATCGAAATAATTTAGTAATTACGGATCGTAACGATGTGAAAATAATTGTACAAATTCTACTTGCAAAGTACTCTAGCGATTTTTTACTGTACGAACTTTTCGTTGGGCGTAAGAAAGCAAAGAGTAACGTTCGCGTGTGTTTATTCGTCGGATCAGTTAATCGATTATTCGTTTTGAAATAGCTGTAAGGCTGGGTCATATAAAGTCTGTGTTTGCATTCCCAAAACTACCGATCAGCGTCTGATGCGGAAGTTTTTCAATTAAACATTCGCCATTCCGATACGTCGCGTGAAAGCGGCGCGCCACGTTCGACGACTGGCTTCCATTCATCGTTTTCACAAACTTTTCCCCGATAGTTTAAATATTTCGCGAATAAAAGATTCAACTGTAACAGCCAATAGCGAACGGTAGATCGCACCATCAGATACAGATGGGTTTGGAACCGAAGTTATTTATTAGAATTAAATTTGTGTTATGCACACATTATAATTAACTTATTTCGCGGAAAATCAAATTTCCATACAAATTTGCTATTCTAGTCATAATCATTTATTGTATGCTGTAAGACAATATCCCGTAAGAGCTTTAAACCACAATACAGGAAGTGCAATGGTAACCAGAAACGCAGGCTCTATTAAAGCGATAGCACAAGAGTTGCAAGTGCAAAAGTATTATGAAATTAAAAAAGAAAGGTATATATAGTACTAAAAGAAATCACAGAAATAAAAATCGTAGTAACAAGGTAAAAGTATAAATAGCAACGTGGAGCGAAATAAAAATTAAAAGTACGCGAGTGGCTTAAGGAAAGAAAAAACACAGATTCGCATGCAGATGCAATAAACACGAAATATATACACTATAAAAATAGAGAAAACAAATAAATTTTAACGAAGGGATACTGATATTGATATTTCGTTTCGTACATTTTAAATATTTCTCTCTTTAAATATTTCTGTCCGCGTGATATTTCAATGGAAAATAATCGTTTAAATCCATACGTATGTACGTCAATCATTCTTAATCATTTAAAATTTTATTCATTTTATTTATTTATGTAACAAATTTATTCATGCTACTCACGCTACTCAATACAAATATCACGTGACTCGAACAAACGAATACCAATATGGCGGCCGTGACAATCAAGAGTCCTATCGTTCTCATTGGAGAACCCTGTATTATCTCACAGAACGAAACACGTATGCGACATCGGTGTATCTCTTTCATTCCCTTCTCAGTCGGCGAATCCCATAGAATATCGGAATTCACGTGTCGTTCGAAGAACCGTTCGCAGACATTAGTTTTGGACCGTGTCTCGACAGAATACAGAAACTGTCTCGCGCCAGGAAACCCCTCTTTGGACATTCATCGGCTGTTTGAATTCCAGAATCACGAGGGTGCCGCGTATCCGTGGTCTCCGCTGGCGGCCCGATAAATTCAACAAACGTCTGTGAATATCAGAAGCTTCGGGGGATGCGAAAATCGGAGGACGATGTCGATGAGACCGGCCTGGGGGCCGAAGTTGTTTCTGGTGCTGGTGACGACCACGATCGTTATCGGCAATTATCAGCGTCATCGGGAGAAGACTCACCTGCGCGAGCAGCTCGTTAACGGCCATAAAGTAACGAGGAACATCACTCGCTTACAAGGTGAGTACTATACAGACGTCCAGCGGGAATTGTTGGATTTAATGTTTGCCGGCCATGTTTCCTCCCCCTCCCTCATTACTCTTGCGGTCGTATCTCGTCGACAGGGAATCGTGGATGGTTTGAATGGGACATTTGCGCGCGACACCAAATGACTGTGTAATTTGCGTTTTTCGCGGAGAACCTGTTCACCGGATTACCGAAAGTGTCGCACAGGTGACTTCGCGCTAGACAACAGGTACTTTTAACTCCCAGCGGTTCTTAAGTACTTTTTTTCGAAGAAACATTCCTGCTTTTTCGGTCAATATTTAGGTCATTAAAAATTGTTTAACGAGGAACTAGTTTTCAAACAATAGATTATCGTTCCTCCTACCTTCATAACATTTTTTCAAAATGTTCTCCCTTGAATGAAATCTGTTGTGAAATTCACTCCTCATAGTTCAGGATCGAGAAATGTATTATCTTGCATTGTGATTCTAAGTGAAACGGTAGTTATTTCCTATACTTAATTCTAAGCACCGCCAATTTTTTTACGGTCGCAAATGGCACGTATACAAATGGTCGACGGTATATCGAACCTTGTTTCGAGGGTTTCGTTAAACTGTGCAGCAGGAAACACCTCGTGCAATTCAAAGGGAAACGTTATGGGTACATGTGTTTTTTATGTCTTCAAAAATAAAACTCGGTTGTGCTTCTACTTTGCACGCTTTATTTGTCCAGTTTCGTTTTAACGAGTGCTCTTTTATTTATATATTTCGCGTTTCGGTAACACAGTTACCTCTTTCATCTTACATTTGTAAACATTTTTCTTTTAAACTAGCCAATCTCGGACAGAATAAATATTGTGCTCATTTCGTTAAACCTTCAACGTTTGTGCATTAAATATTCCAGCGACACACGAATTCCTTACTTTACACAATTTAAAAACCACAGCAATCAACGGTAATTTAAAAAGCATTAAATTAAATTATAGTATTAAATTAAATTTAACCATGCACAGACGTTTTTGAACGTCCAGACAGTTAATTATGCGGAGCACTTTTTTAAATGCGGTTCCACATATTTCAAGTTTGTAGCATTCGCTCGAATGAATAAAAATGTCTGAAATAAATTCTTTCCACGTTATTTAGTCGAATAATGTAAGCTATGTATCAACATTTATTTATTAGTTAAGGAAAACTCGTGTATTTCGTTATGTTAATATATTACGAAATACAGTTTACACTTTGTATATATCCATATTTCATATAATAAACAGATCAAGAAATCTGAGCAAGATATGAGCGAACAACTTACGTTTCCCAAAAAGATAAAAAGCCTGTAACGATTTATTAGGATTTATAATTTTCATCTTCGATTCTTTTCTATCTGTGCTCAGAACTATAGTATTTTGTAATAATCAAAGTACCCAAATAATTCTCGAATAGACTCGATCGAAAATTGTGTTTGGAGAGTTTCTCGTCAACGTCGTTTCACGTTCAGCGGCTGTTATCCTGCTTGAAATCGGAATGACGACATCGATTGCCGCGAATTCCCCCCGGGAACGTGCAACCAAACCGGATTTTATTGCCAAATCCTTGAAAAGGAATTAACGTTCGTATCGCGAGGGGGTCGCGGATCGAAAATTGAAACGCGAAGGCACGAGAAGCGACTAATCGAGAAAAAATGGGAGGGCCGAGTAAGCAGAAATACGCGTGGACGCGAGGTACGGGGTTTATATCGTTGCGCGGCGAGCAAAAAACGGGATAGACGGTCGTAGAAGCAATTTCGACCCTGTTGACCTGCACGTCGAAGGGTGCAAAAGGTACGCGGGGGAAGGGGGGACGGACACGGACATCGCGGTCATGGCAGCTGATTTTTGGCGTGCACGCGCCAAGGATCGAGCTACGGTGAAAAACGAGCGGCGATGTCACGTCGACGTCGTTTTCAATAACGCCCGACGCACCGTTCTGCGTACGACGCGTACGTTTCATAGCGTTCACGCGAATCTATCAACGTGACTTCCGCGGGTTTGTCGACAGATTGTCTCGCGTCAGTTTCGAGGTACGCGACGACGCGACAACGATGGCTCGAACGACTCCTTAACGCGGTTACTGACGCACGCAACACTTTTCCGCAATTTAATATTTTCCACGCTTTAGATATCGACTACGTTACACAGAAGGTACTCACTTTTTTGTGAATTTATTCCGAGCAAATCGGTGCAAGCAATCCGTCCGAAGTGTCCACCATTTGTTTAATATCTTTTTATATATTGCAAAGAATTTTTTTCTCTTGATAAATACTACACTTGCATCGTGGGAAATATTTTCGCTTGAAAGTGATTTATTGTAAGCCATTATTGCCATTTATTGAACCCATTTGTTTCTATCCAGACTGGCAATCAAATCGATACAAACTGTTATCGATGGATTTATTATTCATTATTATTCTTACTTTATAAAAGGTAGAGAAACGTACGTCTCGGTTTCTTAAAAGTAGAACGAAGCGATATGAGATGAAATTACGTGGTGGAATAACGTGTATTTTTCTTCCTTGCCACGCTTTTTTATAAAAACACTTGCACTTGCCCCGTAAATGGAACCATTTGTCTCCCTTTTAGAAATATCAATCATAAAAAGTCTGTTGCGTAATGGTTCTATGAAGTTTCAAACATTTAACGAACCGGTAGAGCGGAAATCTGTTGAGATGTTTGTATAAAACAGTAATGAATAACTTTTTACGAGAACTTTATTGTTTTCGTAGTGGAAAGTTTCTAACAGACGTTATCATCGAACAATGTTTTTTTCTACAGACGTTTGCTACGACTTAAAATTGCCTCGCAATCTGCGTGATACGAGGATCGTTTGTATAATTAATGCCCCGCCTTGACTGTGTTCCGTTACGACTACATTCCGAAGTAATGAGGGACAAGCACGAGAAGTCGATGTAGAAGCGGCCGTGTTTAATTACTCTGCCATCGAGAAGTGGTCCGCTGTTTCCCTTATCGGGCGAAAATTATTTTTCCCCACTTAAATCCATTTCGCAGCATCGTTTCTCTGACGATTGTTTCAGCGTGTCGATGCAAATCAGGAAAGTCGTTGTCTCGCCGCGAAGGAGTATGGTTGCAATTACGAATCGCGCGATTCCTTTTTAAAAAGCAAGGAGGAACGCGACGGCTACGCGAGAAATAAGAGTAATAAATAAATGAGAAACCGTCGTGTCGTTTTAATTATGTTTCGAGTTTCTCGTTGTTATTTAGCCCTTTAAAATTCGAGCATTTTCACTAGTTAAGCTGACAGAAAGTAAGTTTAATTAACTGCACACCCGGATCTCATTATGAACTATCGACGCAAATTAGAAAAGTTTCGAGCGATATTTTATCGTGCACAATGTTTTCGTGCAGTTACGGAGTTCTGAAACAATTCTAGTCTGGCGTTAATAAACACACGACAAATTGAAATCTAAAAAGAAACAGACAGGAACGCGCGAACGTATGTACGGTTCGAAACGGATGGAGGTACAATTTCAGAAATCATACAATTAATTTTAATGAAAATTTTTAATTTACGGAGCTGGTTATACGAGATGAATTGCGAATCGTTAGCTACGATATTTGTGCTGGTTCGTATAGTTTGATAAAAAGAAGTTTCGAATAAAATTGTATCGGCATTCGAATGTATTATTTGTTTGCGTAAATATTAGAACAGTTAGAATTTGATTATTTGCTCCAACTGTCCAGACCGTTAAAAAATAGAATATAAAAATTGTGTAACTTTAGAAAATGTCTAAGAAGAGGTTATATAAGCTGTTTACTGTAAAAGTGATGTAAGTTCATTTGTTTTAAAAAGAAGTTCCAAGAGGCAGTATTTATAACGTATCTTGACTTTTTTCCCCACAATGAAGTTTCACTGCTAGCGAGATAGAATTTCTCTACAACGGTGCAGGGTAAAATTCAGGCGCTTGACAGAACAAAAAAGCATTAATTATGAAAAGTCTACGAGCACGAATGTTCTTATGTTTCTACAATATTATGTTCATAGACCCGTAACATGAGTTATTGCAACAACCGCCTGCTTATTTTCATTTCGAAAAATATACAGGCAAATGTACATAAATACATATGATATTGACGTTCCCCTTAATGAATTTTAATTAACAAATGGAAACAAAAGGTTTTCATTTTTAACTCAACTCTGTATAATATTAGATTTTACTCCTATTCGTGCTCGATATGAATATAATATGTAGGAGATTGGATCTTCAAAAAATATTAGACAAAAAAAAAGAAATTTATTTGATTAAAATATCATAATAATTACACAGAATGTACTGTATAAGTTTAAACAAAATATATATATATAGTGTGGATTTGTTCAGACATGTTATCTAAAATTTTTAAATAAATTCCATCAGTGAATGTTTCCTCGAAGCTACATTCAGCAACCGTTAATTTTACGCGCATCTGATTCAGTTTCTGTTCATTGTCGAATGGAAGGTTTCGTATTTTATTTTTCAAGTTTCATTTTACTAGCACATATACAGTGACCGAAATAATGATAGGTCATTAATATCGGATTTACTATAATTTTATAATATAAAGGCGCGTTTTATTCAACGTGTTTATTTTATTTATTATAATTATACATTTTTGATATAAGTAACGATATAATCTAGTTTAGTTTAACGTGTAAATTTCTATTAATACTAATAACAAACTTTATATTTTAAATAGCTGACATTTCTGTATGAAATAAATACAGGTTCACACTATATACTTTCAATAAATAATTTTTTAGTCGAGGCTTTTGTGCTCGTTTTTTTATAACAAATAGTTCCATTCAAGATTAATCCACTTTGAATATATTAGAAGTGATGAAAATTTAGCAATCTTATTTTATATTTGGTGACTTTAGAATAGTATCCTTTGCATCTAGAGATCGATTTATCATTCGTTGGCAATGCATTAGTTCAATACGTTCACTCTTCTGCCAGTAGACGAATTGGATGAATTTTCACGGATC